CAGGATGAGGAGAGAGCACATCCAGCCATTTAAAGTCAAAGAAACAGGACTACACTGAAAAACAGGCCAACCACCAACATCTATAAACCAATGTGTTGATCGCAGCAGCAGAGCTGAAATTTCTCTCTAGGGTGGTGTCACAGCCAAACAGGAAGAGATCAGGCAAAGCTACTATAAGAAAAAGCAGAGAGAGCATAAAGTTAGAGATTGAACTAACAGATTCTGCAGAGTGGGAAAATAGAGATAGAATGAAGCAGAATTAGACTGAATCCATTACTTGTTTTGATCTTCCTTTTGAGAAGGCAGACTGGGATTCTGCAACAATATGTGATATTCTCATTTGTAGGCACATGGTAAATATGTAGTTTAGCAACTTATGATCTGAATTTATGAGTGTGATTCTGTTCTCAATAAGTCTTGGGTCTTTACCTGTTTAGAGATGGATAAAATAACACCTAGTATAATTGTAGGAGGTAAAATATAGTTATTTATAATTTTGTGAATACTGGGAACAATGGTATTTTTGTGTCTACCCAAAAATGTTGGTAAAGTTACATGTCCACCTGGACCAGGATCTTTGGTTAATGATAAGTGTTTAACAGCTCTGTCAAGTTCTTCTAATGCTATAATAGTGTCACAGGTTTGTTTATAAATCATCTTCAATTTTTGGAATACATTTTTCAGTCTGGATAAAAAAAGGCAAGGCAATTTGGTTTAGAAAATTTGTAGGTATATAAGTTGTTATAAAACTTATGTACATATAACTTACCTATTTTGTTTTTTCATAGTTAATTTATCAAGGATTTAGTAGCATTTAGTTGTTGCCTTGTATTTTCTAAAATAAAGAAGAGGGCCTTACAATGATAAGCAAACTGCAGGGGGTCCTGATAGCTGCTTGTTTTTACCTCAGGTGGACCAACAGGAGTCTCTCCAGGACCTTCATGACATGGGATGTCAGGGTAACAGGTCTGTAGTCACTGAGGAGTGTTGGCTGAGTATTTTTTGGTACTGGAACAACAGAGGTCTTCTGCCTCTTTGGCCAGGGTAAGGTGGAAGAGATGTGGTAGAATCAGGTAAATTCAGGCTCCCAAGGATACATATTCTGTGAGCTTAACATGACACCCGGAATGAGCTTTCCTTTCAAGTGTTGCCTAGAGTTCTTCACTATTGATGTCGATGCAGAAACATTATCCTATGTATGACTTTCTCATGACTTTCTCAGTGCCCCCCCAGATGATTGACATGTCACGACGCTCAGTTATTCCTGCACCACAACCCATTGTGGCAGTATTTACCACAATGGGTTGTGACACTTATGACAGTTACACGCTCAAAACCAGCAGGGGACGATATGCCATTTGGACACAGTAGAGTTGATCCAACAGAAGAAGAAGAGAAGGAGAACCGTGAAGAGGTGATAAAGAAATATTGTAAAGTCAAGTGGAATTCAGTCGATTTGACATGTCGATGCAGAAACATCATATGTATGACTTTCTCAGTGATAATAATGAGACATTTCAGTTCCAATTTTTTTTTAAAGACAAAAATGGCTATTCTTAAACACTGACAACAATTTCAATACAGGTAACCTGTGTTAACAATAAATAATCCAATGAGATTAAATCAAAAGTGAAGAAAAAGTTGTTCTATTTGTACTTACCGTATTTTCACGACTATAAGGCGCACTTAAACGTCTTTTTTTCCCCTCAAAATGTGCGGTGCGTCCTATGGTGCGGTGCGCCCTATGTGTGTTGTAACTGCGACTTTTGAGACCACCTCATTGAGGAGATGATGAAAGAGTGGCTGAATGTAAGGAGACCAGGTGTTTTCTTTCCACTCATCACCATCGCTGTTAATATGTAACTCCATGCGTGCCCATCTCACAGCTGATGTGAAAAACATGGGGAAACAAATTAACGCTGTGCTCGCTGTTCAACCACTCGACATCGGTGTGAACCGGACCCAGCAGGTGCAGCAGAAGCAGCGAGTTTACATGCAAAGTCAATGGTTGACGCGCGTATAGGTGCAGCAAAAGGTCCCGCAGCCTTTAAGCATCTGACGCACCGCTAGAGACTGACACGGGAGTGGATTTTCACTCCTGTCCCGTCCCACTCCCACAGAAAAAAATGGTGTCCCGTCCCGATCCCGGGCCAGAGTAGAAATCTAAATCCTGTCCCATCCCACTCCTGGTGAAATTACTCCCACTCCCATCCCGCTCCCATTCAGAATGACTCCCGCTCCTGCACCACTCCCATTCTTGTTGTTTTTGAGCGCGGGTGAAAAACTCAGAGCGGAAGTTACTATTGGTTTGCTCCCGCTCCCGTCTGCTCCCGTTAATGTTTAATCCTGTCCTGTCCCAATCCCGTGATCGTTACTAATACTGACTCCCATCCCACGGGAATCCCACGGGAATCCCGTGACCCATGGGATTCCCGAAAAAATGTCAGTCTCTACGCACCGCCAACGCGCTGCTGCAGCTCGAGATGGAAAAATTGAAGTTTTGCTGCTGGAAGCGCCGCATCAACCAATCAGAGAAGCTGATCTGGGAGCTGACAGCGAGACAGACACAGCGCTCTGATGACATATGATATTAAATGAAAAAGGCTGGGTGGATGAGGAGATGATGAAAGCGTGGCTGAGGGAGGTTTATGTGAGGAGACTAGGTGGTTTTTTCCACGCATCACCATCGCTGCGTGCCCATCTCACAGCCGATGTGAAAAAAAGGTGAATCAAATGAACGCTGTGCTCGCCGTTATTCCGGGGGTCTGACAAAGGAACTTCAACCGCTCGACATCGGTGTGAAGCGGCCGTTCAAAGTAAGGCTGCGAGCGGCATGGGAGTGATGGATGACAGACGGAGACCACAGTTTCAGGATAAGTGGAAGGCAGCGCCGGGCAAGTTACGCCACCGTTTGCGGATGGATTGTAGATGCTTGGACTAACGTGTCTGCTGGCTCTGTTGTTCAAGCTTTTGCAAAAGCCGGCATTATTTCTGAGGAGCTGCGCTGCACGGAAAGTGACTGACAGCGAAGAAGGGGAAACTGGCATGTCTGATTTAGCGCATCTGTTTTATTCAGAAACAGAGGATGATGACTTTGATGGGTTTGATTAATACTTTGTAATAAATACATGAATAAAGCACAATCATACTCAGTTTTGCTCCCGCTCTATTTTTCTACCTGAAAACTTAATTCAACAGCAGCCTCTGGGCGGGTCTCCTCCTCTTCACCGCGGTGGCTGGCAGGTGTTTTTTCATCTAAATAATCTAAATCTTGCAGCTATATTTGCTGTGATCAGTGGGAATAAAGTAGTTTTAATATGTTTTTAAGTGAGAAAGTCCACCTGAAAACTTAATAATTGCAGTCAGTTCATCCAGATTATCTATTTCTGTCGGAGGCGCTCAGACCCCCACATACCAGCGGTGCACCGACAGTAGAAATCCTTTCATCAGCAGCCTCTAGGCCGGGCAGCCTCCGGGTTCACGCGGTGGCTGGCAGGTGTTTTTCATCTAAATAATTTAAACTGCAGGCACCAGGATACCGGCAATAAAAGCGAACATATTCCGTCGGCAGGTTTCAGGATTTTAAGTTAATATAGGAGTGATCACAGCGCTGTGTCATCTGCGATGTGTCTGTCTCACGGCCAGCTGCCAGGTTTGATTAATACTTTGTAATAAATACATGAATAAAGCACAGTCATACTCAGTTTTGCCCCCCGCTGTATTTTTAAATACGCAGTAGAGGTATTTAAAGGTAGTAGAGGACATGTACCTGTATATAAAAAACGCGCCCTATAGTCCGGTGCGCCTTATGAGTGTGTTAAATACAGAAATGGGACACATAACTGAGAGTGCGCCTTTTAGTACGGTGCGCCTTATGGTCGTGAAAATACGGTACATCTTTTTGGAAGATTTCTAACTATAAATTTAAAAGAAAGAGTTAATGAAACTAAGGTAAAATTTAAAAAAGGAAACCTTCTTATACCGTAAAAGTTTAAAAAACAATCCACTGGCTTCGTTTCCAAGATTTGAAGATGTTTCGCCTCCCCTCCAGGAAGCTTTCTCAATTCAAATGTCTGGATCGGCAGTGAGTTTGAGTCTTTATATAGACAAGGCCTTGTATTGCTTGGAAACATGAAAATGGAAACCGACGAGTGGGTCGTTAGTTCCATCGTTAGCCTGTAATATCTGAACCTGTAATTTTATATACTTTATCAGTTATTCTCAAACTTATGCATAGGAGTGTTAGAAAAAACAAACCGCTTTGGGAATTTTGCTATGTATGAGTAAAATGTTTTATAGTTGAATTTAACTCACTAAGTGTTGTTTTAACACTTAGAGATTTAAATGGTGCTCAATGTTCAAGTTATTTCCAGGAGTTGATTGGGCCCGTGTTGAATCTACTCTGCTGGGAGAAAAATAAGCTCCGCCCCCTTCTTCACCGTCTGCGTATGAGTGCAGTCTGAACACGGCTCCATTTTCTCCGTCTCCTGCTCGATTACACGGTAACAGCAACTTTCTAAATCTTTGACCAGGCACTATTAAATTGATAGAATAAGTGATGTGACTTTTTCGCATAATTAATACTTCATTGAATGGCAGCTAAATGTGTCCATTTTACAACAACCTTACACAAAGTGCTAGCTAGCAGCACACGTGTGGGTTGTTAGCTAGCAACCGTTGTATTTACAATTAAAAGTACTGTAACGGTAACACTTAAAAGTAATAATCATATTGGACCATATAATCATTAAAGATAAAAGTTTGATGATTTTTTGCCATCTAAAATCATGATTTTTGGTGGTGGGAATGTAAAGGTTCCTGCCTATTAGACTTCACCTGAACTTCAATGGGGCCACTGAGATGTTCCTACTGCAGACATGCATTGCACACTAAGGGGAACACTTTACTTATAAGTTGTATTTTGCTTTGTTTAGGTTTATTCCATGCTTCAGTAAAATGTTGATCCTGGTTAACTATGGTGAGGTTCAAAAGTATGTGAGGTTGGATGAAGCTGAAGGGAAGTTTGACTTTCATCAATTCCATGAGAAAGGTTGGTTTCTTGTTAAACCTTTGTGCAGGGTAAATGATAGGCAAAATGTATTTAGGGAAAATACATAATTTTCAACACTTATTTTACAAATCTATGGTGAGTAAAAGGGATAAGCAATTTTATTTTCAGTTTTGCAATATGTTCTCTAATCTCCAAGCTAATTGTATGATCAACACAAAAAAATGTAATTCATATTTTAATGACACAGTTGGTGATTAGAGCATTCAAATCAAAATTTTGCCTTCTTGCTTTTCCAGTCATTGAAAGATTTTGCCTGCCACCTGATGCCAAAGTTGCATACAAGGATGGAACAGATACTGAAGTTGATGAAGAAATATTCAGTGACCTCATTAAACAAGGCAATGTTGTGTTGAAGGTCTACTGCCATGATGGTGAGATATAAAAGTAAATTAAGTCAAGCATCATAAAGATTTTACAAAAAGATGAAATGGATTTTCTTCTTCAGAGTTCTCTGAAAGGTCTGCTTCTGAGTCTGAGCTTCAGCTCAGATGCATCAACATCAACAATACTAATGGATGAGATCCCATGGAAGATGCAAAAAATTGAGAATGCTAATAATTCATTGCCTGCCAAAAAGGTAACGATATATTTTGTGTGCCTCTAAACTCTTTAACCCTGTTGTGACATATTTGAGCAATCCGAATATCACCATAAATTTCCTTTCTGTTTATTCATTTCATAGCAGGTTGAAGGTGTCCTTCAAAGCAAGTCTGGTGGTGAAGAAGTTCTGCAGGAGTATAAAGCAACAGAAACCCTAAGTGATGCCACAAGAAGGCAGATGGTAAACATACTGGTGGCTCACATGACTGATGAACATGGGTAGGTGTGTTTTTACACTTTTTAATCTCTGTAAAAATGGACTATTTGTCTCTAGTGTGAAATCTGCTGTTAGGCACCTTCCTCCTAAAGCGATCAGAGAGCAGTATGCCCTTGGAATAGTGACGCTCTTCCCTTCCCTCAAAGATCCATACACCAAAAAAGGCTATGTAATGTTCTTTACCAATTGTGATATCTCATTTTGTCCCAAAACTGTGTTTTTTTTCATAAAAATTGTGATTGTTTTTCTTTATTCCCTTTTTTAGGAGCACTTTTATGATGCAGCAAGCAGCACAGGATACATTTCATGGCGTCTCAAAACAATTCAAAGGAAGACTAGAAGAGGATCTCCTGTGGCACCAAGTAGCTCCAAAGAGATTTTAAGTGGAGGCCCAAATAGTCAGAGAAATGTGATCGTCGAAAGACAGCTAAATGGTGATGCCTGCCAGGAAGCCATGTCGTTGCTTAACCACACCACAGACAGGTCCCTGATCTTTCAGAAGATGAGAGAGACTTTTGAACACCGTCAGAAACTTATTAGAGATGCCAGTGGAAGAACAGACATTCTGACAATGTTTCCCAGATTTCTGGACACAAAAGGATTAGTAAGTCTTCAAATGAGTTAAAATCTTTAAATACAAGGTTATATCCAGTGTTGATAGTTGGATTTCTGCTTTTTAATATAGATTGATCAAGACTTCAGTCTTCTATTTAATGAAGAAACCTCCTCCAGACTGCTGCAGAAGTGGGATGTGTTCTTCAAGCAAAATGTCATCAAAGAGGCCAAGCGTCTCACTTCAACACCTGAGTTGAGAAGTTTGGTGCAGTCAGCGGAAGTCCCTGGAGATGACCTGGATGCGGCATCTAGTAAGTACCAAACTATATCTGAACATGGTTGACTGTTCAGAGTATTCAACACTGGCTCTATGTTGTCAAAGTTCTGACACTAAATTATATGAATCTGTCATCAGCCTATGACCAAGAAATGGCCTCCTTGTTACTGCTCCTACATCTCCTTCCACCACCACCTGGAGGACAGAAGTCTTCAAAAATCAGTGCATGGGATGCAATTGAGAGACTCGTTGTCTTTCACAAGGTAATTAAATAAAAAAAATGTACAGTACTTTGTCACTTTGCTTTTATAGACATGTATAAATACTGGTGGTAACTGCGCATCTTTGAAGATGTCTGGTTAGACTAGGGCTGGGCGATATAGAAAAAAAGCTTATCGATAAAAAAAAATGCATATTGATCGATATCGATAATTATTGAAAAGATTTGAAACCATATTTTATGTGCAGCTCTGCCTGGACTTTTTATAATATTGCTAAATGATTTAATTTTAATAAAAAACACAAACACAGACTTCGAATTAAATCTTTATTTAACCAACTTTTTTAACCATAACAGAATTGTTTTAAAGAAAAATAACTTAAGAGACCTGAGTTATGTTATTAAAGGAGAAGTTCGGTTTTTTACACTTTAAGCCCATTTTCTGTAGTGTCCAGGATGAAATCGAATGAAGGACACTAAAAGTTTGACAATTGCTCCTGTCTCTGCTTTTTGGCTCATTTAGAATCACCCCCTGGCTGCTTTAGAATGGCTAGCATAGAGCATGTCCGATAATGTCCTTAAAACAACCTTAAACGTTCTTTTTTTAAAATATGCTACTCACCGTGTCGTCAGCGCTGTTCAATGACGTTCCAAAAAAAGTTTCGTGAAGAAAAAACGTTCCTGTAGTGTTTTATTTAGCATTTTGTAAATCCCATTGAGTTCTGTAGGAATAGTCAATATTCCCCTGCCACCGGAAACGGAAATGGGGCCTGTTTACACAGTTGTAGTCTTTTCGCTTCACTCTGCGTACTCCGACGTCGAGGTGCTAACGTCTCTGTTAAACACTTTAAAAAAACTCTGAAAATGGAATACGAAAGGTGGATTCTTGATTCTCGACGTCGGAGTACACAGAGTGAAGCGAAAAGACTACAACTGTGTAAACAGGCCCCATTTCCGTTTCCGGTGGCAGGGGAATATTGACTATTCCTACAGAACTCAATGGGATTTACAAAATGCTAAATAAAACACTACAGGAACGTTTTTTCTTCACGAAACTTTTTTTGGAACGTCATTGAACAGCGCTGACGACACGGTGAGTAGCATATTTTAAAAAAAGAACGTTTAAGGTTGTTTTAAGGACATTATCGGACATGCTCTATGCTAGCCATTCTAAAGCAGCCAGGGGTTGATTCTAAATGAGCCAAAAAGCAGAGACAGGACCAATTGTCAAACTTTTGGTGTCCTTCATTCGATTTCATCCTGGACACTACAGAAAATGGGCTTAAAGTGTAAAAAACCGAACTTCTCCTTTAAATACTGACAAAGAATAAACTAAAGTGACCAAAATAAATATAACAAATAAATAAATGCCCCCCCACCGCCGCCGCTGCCCCCGTTTCCTGCTTTAACCTGAGTTATTACTTTGAAGTTTCTGGCCCCTCAGCATTTTTATCTCAATTGTTAGAACTACGTGGGAAACTGCCCAGAACTGAAAATATATATATATTTTCCGAAGATTCCTCGGAGGAGAACCGCGTCGGGGCCTAAACAGCTCGTACTCCTGCGGCTGTGAGTGGCTGAGATGATAAAAAAAAAAAAAGTTGGTTTCGTTATCAGACTGGTTTTCACTGGTTCCCGACACATTTTCCAGATGACTGTGGTTTGTTTTTGGTCCGACTTGCCATGACCGAAATACTGCCAGACTGCCGAACTACAAAAACCCTTTTTTGAAACAATTTCCTCCGCCTCTCCTTGCTGCATCTTCATGTGCTCTGTGTTGAGGTTTGAGAGGGCGGCGCTTGGTGACGGCATGCCTGGGTCCACGATTGTGATTGGTTGGGAGGAAGCAGTGACTAGCATAAACCTACATGCTAGGCTACAATGAGAAGGAAGGAAAACTGCGTTTCTTTTTTATCGAACTTTTATCGACCCTCTTTTTTTCTATTGCGCCACACGTCTATCGATCGATATATATCGTTATTGAATTATCGCCCAGCCCTAGGTTAGACATGAATTTCTTTTGTTAGATAGTTGAATCTTTTTTTCTAATGGTTGTAGCTCTGTCTCATTTCTTATTTTTTGCTTTATTTTTTTTTTTTAAAGGTACACTATGCAACCGGTGTTGATTTTCCAGTGAGGCTCCCTCCAGAGGGCGAAAGTAAAAGTGCACTGTCGTAAATATGCTCAGCTGTTCTCCTGGTTTCTCCGTCAAGCCAGGCGCGGTTGTTTTGAGCTTAGCAGCGAATGACTAACGCTGCGTTCACACTGGATGTAGCTGGCGCGACAGAAGCAGCGAGTTTACATGCAAAGGTCCCGCGGCGCGTTTTGAGCTGCAGGCGCAGCACGTCTGAGCGGCTGCAGCAGCGCGTCGGGTGCGTTTAACGCAGGGAGAGAGACACAGCGCTGATGATCACTCCTCTTAAACAGTTTATTGACGCCTAAATTAACTTAAAATGCAGAAATCTGCCGGCAGAATATGCAGTTTGGATTATTTAGATGAAAAACACCTACCAGCTGCCACGGTGAACCGCTGCTGATGAAGGGATCCATACTGTCGGCGCATCCCTGGTATGTGGGGGTCTGAGCGGCTCCGACAGAAAAAATATTGAAGGCAGGATAATAATCTGGATGAACTGACTGCACTGATTACGTTTTCAAATGTATTTTCTCACTTAAAAACATATTAAAACTACTTTATTCCCACTGATCACAGCAAATATAGCTGCAAGGCAGAGAAAGGATAGTGAAGCTCCGCCCAACGCGCCTCAGACACACTTTTGCAGCCAGAGCAGCAAAGCTGCTTCAGCCGCGCGTCAGTACTAACTGGTACAAGCAGCAAAAATGAAGCAGCAGATGCGATTTTGCTGCTTTTGCTGCGTGAACGTAGCATAACTGCACAAAGATCGCCACTGTGCTAGCAACGAGAATGCTTTTAACTGGGGGGTGTAGCAGTTCTCGCCGTAAAGCAAGACTGACTCTCACGAGACTTCTGAGCCTGTGGGTGCGGGTCGGTGCTCCTGCAGTTGCAAGTGCAGTATTTCCCCCACAGACCACCAGGGCGGCCGAGAATACCTTTGTTCAACCTGAAATGACTCATTTAGTCATCCATAACGTTATGGAACACATTAATTAACTGAAAAATGTTGCATAGTGTCCCTTTAAATCTTAGTCATGCTGCAGTTTAGAGGAACATCTCCGGGGTCAACGGGGTCTCCAGCCATACCTCCTTGCTGTTGGGCGTCTGAAGAGCAAGATTGACAGCTTCTACATAGTCATGGATAAACACCTCATCCCATGCCAGGCAAACCGCTCTCTGGGAGCATTTGATGAGTTGTTCAAAGCACATTTTGTGTTCAATGTCTCTTATGATGCTGCATTATTGAGTTTTTATACGTTTCTGCAGACAACAGTGTATAACATTGATGTTGGCAAAATGAAGGAATCACCCAGAGTCAGAGACTTAAAAAGCGAGGCTGCTTAACCAGCCCCTTGTGCTCTCCTGTGAGTAAGTCAAGGTAAAAATGTTGAGATGCTTTAAATGTCAGAACCTGTATCCAAGCAGCCAGCAGTTGATTTCACATTTAAGAGTTGAACATAGTTACTATCCTGGACCAAAGTTTAAATTGGTTTGTTCTCAGCAAGGCTGCAGGCATCAGTTTCTGACATATACAGGTTTTAGAAAGCATCTTAATGTTCACAGAAACATTCAGCACATTTCGCAGAGTTTAGCCATTCCAAGTTCATCCTCTTGTAATCCAGTTGTAACATATCAAGCTGATGCTTTGAATGAACAGCTAGCCCCCCTAAATCAGTCCTGTTCTTCTGATTCACCTCAGGAGAGCACTCCCTCACAGATTTCTAAAGACCAAACTAAAGAGATGTGTGCATCTATAGTAGCTAAATTACAAGGCAGTGGAATCTCTGGCAGCCTTGTGTCCTCAATAGTGGGGGATTTAGAAGAACTAACGAATGAGATTCACTTAAAAGCAAAGCAGACTGCTATTTCTGCATTACCCATGACTGATCCTAATGTTTCTTTGATAAATGAGTCATTCGAACAATTTGAAAATCCATTCACAAACTTAAATACAGAATGGAAACGAAACAAATACTTCAACATTAAATGGGGTGTTGTCGATCCAGTGGAGATAACACTAGGAGTAAGATATGACAGCAGACGAAATCAGAAAACTGGAACATATACAAAAGTTTCCTTCACAGGTACTTGATCATATGTGCCGATATTGGAAACATTACAGTTCATGTGCAGAAATCAGGAAATCTGTGCTTTGCTTAGGCGAGAGTGTGGATCAGAGAAAGAGACTTACGCAGACTTTTCTGATGGAAGCTATTATAAAACACATCCTTTGTTTTCAGCCAAAAAACATGCCTTACAAATTCAAATATTTTATGACGATTTTGAACCTTTTAGTAGTCATTACTTTTGTCGGATTTGTTTAATAGAAAAAAGCGAATGTCAGACTCTACAGTGAGGATGATCCTAAGGTAATACTTAGAGGAAAGGAGATTTTTGAAATGCATTATAAAGCTCTTGAAGAAAACCCACAGCTAAAGTCATTATATGGTTTGAAAAAAAAATCTTCACTTAATTCATTGAGATATTTTCATGTTTCTGACAACCATTCATTTGATATAATGCATGATCTTCTTGAGGGTGTTGCTCAGTATGAGATCAAATTATTTTTTGAATATCTTACCCAAAACCTCATTTCAAAACAAGACTTACTCTCCAGGATTTATAGTTTTGATTATGGCTATTTAGAAAGGAAAAACCGTCCCACAAAAATTATTTTGGAAAGTTCTGGAAATGGCATAGGTTTAAATTCTGTTCAGACATTGTGTCTTGTTAAAAATATTCCACTTTTGTTTGGGGACATTATTCCTAGAGGAGACAAAAACTGGTACATGCTACTGTTGTTACTGGAAATAATGAACATTGTCTTCTCTCCTATCCTTACTATAGGTATGACTATATATTTGAAGCATTTGATTGTTGAGCACCACAGACTTTTTAAATTCTTATACCCCCATAGAAACTTGATACCTAAGCATCATTTTATGATCCACTACCCATCTTCTATTAGGAAAATAGGCCCATTGTTACATATGTGGTCTATGAGGTTTGAAGCCAAACATAAAATGTTTAAAGATTATTTTAAAAACTTCAAAAATATAACAAAGTCCCTTGCTAAAAAGCATCAGATGGCCATAGCTCATCATTGGGAGACAATACCTATTAAACAAAATGAGCATGGGCCAGTCAAACCTTTTTTACTTAAAGATGAAGATCTGGTGAGTAATGAAATGCTTCAAATAATTTCATCAAAAGATGTTTGTTCAACTAGCTGGGTTAAAGTTGATGGTATTGAGTACAGACCTGGACTTGTTGTTTGTTGTAAAATGCAAGAGGAAATGCCAGTGTTTTGTCAGATAAGTGATATACTTTTAGTTGACAACACTTTTCTTTTGTTATCTAAACAATTGTTCACAGAGAGGTTTGATGATCATTTTTCATGCTTTCAGGGTTCTTCATAGTGAAGAAACACTACTTGTAAAAATCCCAGAGCTTAAATTTAATAAGCCATTTGATATTCAGAACTCATATGGTGTTTCTAATGAATGTTTGTTCATTGTACCACAATTTAAAATGTTGGAAACATTTTAAAAATGCAAAAATAAAGCATCTAAAATGGATTTGTTTTTAGTTTTGTTTTATGATAATTAACCACTCATAAAGTGACTTATTTTCTAGAAGATTACACTTGAAGGTGTTAAATCAACTCTAACAAAACAGTTGAGTTTTGTTTTTGGATCAGTGTTAACCATTATGTCCACACACCCTTAATTCAACTCTGTCGTGTGAGTTAAACAAGGAACTCGGTTACAGTGTTAAAAATTTAACTATTTCGACTATGTCAAATGAACTCTGAAGAGTGTGGACCTATATAAACCCTGAAAAAGTGTTAAAATCAACTCTATATCAGAGTTGAATCAACACTTGACTTTTTGCAACCCCATCACAATAAGCCCATCAGAGGTCAGCAGACCTAGAGAAATAAAAGTTAATAAAAGTGTTAAATAAAGACCTAAATCTAAAAAGTAAACCACGATTAAAAAGACATTACAAATTAAATAACACAGGTAAACACGTCCAACTAGAACACACTCACATTATTACTATTCTAAACCAGATTTATGACATGGATTACCACCAAAATGTACTAAGTTGTAATTTAGGCTAAGACACAAAGGCGGAAAATATTTAGGGCAATCCATCCTTTACTTTATCAACAGTCAAATAAACCACAGCTACATTACCTCCCTGTATTATTTTTTTTCGCATAAAAAAACGTGACTTTGTCGTGGGAAAAAGGTATTCAGTAACTATTCAGCCTAGTTAAATAAACGGAGATTGATGGATTTCACTCATATTTTGTATTCATATCTTTGCAAAAAGACAACAGTTCATCATACAGCCCTTATGCCACAGCATTCTGCCCTGTTCTGCATGAGCAGTGTTCGTTCCCCCTTACTACAATGGAAAAGTAGTCAGAGTCAAAACAAATTACAGACATTTTGGTTAACAGTAACATGTTATGAATAAACCTTGAGAAAGAATATGGTTTGTTACACCATATTGCAGAGAATTGTGTGGCCTTGAAAGTGAAACAGACTGAGTGAAAACTTTTATAGTGAGTAAATAGGATAAATTAATATATAATAGAAGAGAAATAAAAATTTTCCGACAACAACTGACAAAAAATTAAGACACATAAATAGATGCAGATTATTTCATATTATTAAAAAGAAAAGGGAAATTCTAAAGAGTGAATCAAAAAACAAATTATTTGCCTATTTTTTTTGCATTAACTTTTAACATAAAAAGAGCATTACATATTCGTCCATTACATTGGCTATTTGTTGTGAATTTCCTTTACAATACTCACATATGACACACTTAAATAATTTTGCAGTATATTACCATTCTGGTCCAACAGTGAATATAAAACATTAAATGAATTTAAAAAAGAATTTATAAGAGAAAAAGAGTATAGGCAGTCTATGAAAGAGTTAAGGTCTTGTGAGGAATACATATTGGAAAAGGTCTTCAGACAGCTGCATACAAATAACCCAGACATAGTCATGGCTCTTTAAAATAAGACATTTATCATAGTGGTATATTTTAGATGCCTAAAAACATAGACTTACAAACAAAAAAAAGTTTAAAAAAAATAATTAAAAAATTTGTAATTGTAGACACAAAACAGTTTCTCACATGTTTAGTAAAGTGTGTGTGAAGTTATTCTTTTTCTAATGTATAACAGACATAGCTTTAAAATGGAACTGACAAACAGCAGTAACGTGCTATAATGCAATGTGTTGGACAGAAACAACACTACAATTATTCTGCATCTCTGATAAAATAAAACAATTTCACAAAAACTTACATTTAGATGATAGCTTCAAGAGAGCCAGCTGTGCTGCATCTGAGGCAAAGCTATATAGACAGCCATAAAGACTGGTCAGACAAATCAATCCCATCTATAGAGGAGATCTAATCAAGCCGTCTCCTTTGACGGACCACAAAGATCCAGGATGACCGGGAAGCTCATTTCTCATGGGACATGGGGTATTCTAATGGTTAGGACGGAAGCTTAGTGATTCATGTAGACTGGAGGTCCCCTGTTCCCTCCGTGCTCTGAGCAGATTCCCCAGGCACAGATTGCCAATTAGACGCTTTAGACGGTACAGTGTCCCTAAGGAATGGGGTTAATAACAGAGAAATTATGTTAAATGTGTAACTACGGTCACAAGAGAGATTATTGTTATGATTTTCCCCAGCCTTCCCTATGGCAGACATAAGAGTTTTGTGAGCTTTACCAACAGACTAAAGGGCAGATTTTCCCCATGTTTGTGTAAAAAAAAAACTTCTGTGGAAACACACATGCACATACTACCTCCCAGCTCAGTACCTGAAACATTTTTTTTTTGCTCTAACATTAACAGACCACTGACAATGCTAAAAAAGCAGCAACATATATTTTGTTGTATTATGTACAATGTCATAGTTTATTTACATTGTTTTACATTTATATCAGCTAAATAACACAACTAAACTATTTTACAAACACAATAACCTACACTTAGACAACTTTTATTGTCATTTTGTATAAAAAGTGTTTATACAAACCAAATATGATTTAAACTAGGGCTGCAACTAACGATTATTTTAAAAATCGATGAATTGGATGATTATCTTTTCGATTAATCCATGAATCTGACAAAAAATATTTTTTATATTAACCTCTTTATTCAAAAATAAACATTTTAGACAGAACAAACAAGCACACAAGTACAAGTTGCTGATTAACTGTCCTGGTGCAATATGAAAAATAAATGTTTGTGTTAAAACTACTCAAACTTACATGAGAAATGTAGCTGTACATCCACAAAATACAG